GGTTTAGTTTTTTTTTTTTTTTTTTTGGGGGGGGGGGGGGGGGGCTGTGGGCGTGTTTTGGGCTTTTGTGGGTTTAGGGTGCGTTGAGTTTTTTTTTTGTTGGGGGGGGGGGGGGGGGGGGTTGGGGTTCAGGATTTAGTTAGGGTGTATAGGGTTTTGGAGTTTAGGGTGTTTTTTTGGGGGTTTTGTGGGGTTTAGGATTTAGGTTTATTGGAGTTTGTAGTTTTGGGGTGTTGGGGTGTTGGGGTTTCGGGTTTTGTTTTTTTTGGTTTAGGGTTCAGGGTTTAGGATGTCGTTGTTTTTTTTTTTTTTTGGGGGGGGGGGGGGGGGGGATTGGGGTTAGGATTTAGGGTTTAGGATTTCGACTGTAGGGTTTAGACTCTTGTTGTTTATGATTTAGGGTATAGGGTCCTCGTGTGGCTGTTGGTTTCAAAGCGGGATAGCACTTTGCAAGACGACCCATTACCTTTGCCCTCCCCCACCCATAAACCCCGAAACCCTGAACCCTAGACTCTTAAACCCTAGACCCTCAACCCTAAACATCAAACTGCTAAACCCTAAACCCTCAACCCTACTAGGGCTTAGGGTTTAGGGTTTAGGGTTTAGGGCTACAGGGTTACAGGGTTGACAGGGTTTCTTGGGGGTGTACCATGCGCGCGACTGTGTGAATCACCAAGTTGAGACTTGGCCCAGCATCAATGCCTCATACCCGAAACCCTAAAGTCCAAGAGCCCTAGAGCTAAAGCCCTAGGGCTTATAGGGCTTGTAGGGTTTAATGTCGTATCCTGATTAGTGTGGACCCCTCCAATAATGAAAAAAATTCAAAAAATAATTCAGGGGACAAAAATTTGTTTGCCCCCCTACAATAATGAAAAGTTTTTTCGGCATGGGTTTCGGAAGAGGGAGAAAAAAACTTACCTGAGCTGAGCTCATCTGAGCTTACCTGAGCTAAACCTTGAGGCCTGAGGTTGTCGGGCCCTGAAATCTTCATTCTGCAGGACAACCCCAGAACTAAGATTTCCTTATAAAATGCTTTTGTACCGAGGCCGGGCAATCAAATTTCCAAGGGGGTAGTCCAGCAGCTGCCCGAATGCCGTATTATAAAACCTTTGCTCCCCCGGAATTATATTTTTTTGTGGGCTAGTTGGGTTTGGATCCAGAGGCCTAAGGGCTGAGGCTTCCTAAACCTTGAGGCCTGAGGTTGTCGGGCCCAGAAATCTTAAGCCTCCAGGCCAGCCCCAAAGCTAAGATTTCCTTATAAAATGATTTGTACCGAGGCCGGGCAATCAAATTTCAAAGGGGGTAGTCCAGCAGCTGCCCGAATGCCGTATAATAAAAAACGTTTGCTCCCCCGGAATTATATTTTTTTTTCGGGCTGGCTTGGTTGGGATAGATGGATCCCCTTTAAATTCATATGCAGACAACATTACCTAAGAGGAAGAGGAGAGGAAGATGAGAGGAAGAGGAGAGGAAGAGAAGAGGAAGAGGAGAGGAAGAGGAGAGGAAGAGGAGAGGGAAGAGGAGAGGGAAGAGGAGCGAAGAGGAAATGAAGAGGAGCCGGTGGGGGGGGCCCGGGGCCGAAAACCAGTTTGGGGGGGTCCCTTTTTTTGTGACACTATTGCCGGGGTGGATTTAGTTTGGGGGGGGGGGGGGGGGCCCACACTAATCAGGAGACCACATTATAGGATTTATAGGGCTTATAGGGTTTATAGGGCTGGTAGGGTTTCTGCCCTAAAGCCCTCGAGCCCTGAAGCCCTAAAGCCCTAAACCCTGACTAAGTGTCATGAGCAGCTAACTTGGTAGCCCAGTGGTACCCTTGTCCCTTTTTGGGGTTCAAGGTTCTTTTACATGAATATGGTTTCTGGGCTACTATGTATACCCTGACTACACCCCCAAAGGCCCTAAAACCCTAAACCCTAAACCCTATACCCTAAACCCTAAACCCTAAACTCAGAAGCCCTAACGCCCTAAACCTTAACTAAGTGTCATGAGCAGCCTCAAGCCTTTGTGGTGCTTTACTGTAACTTTAGATCCTTAGTCTTTTTGGGTTTTTTGGGTTACTTACAAAGGCACCCGAAAGCCTAAGCCCTAAACCCTAAACCCTAAACCCTAAACCCTAAACCCTAAACCCTAAACCCTAAACCCTAAACCCTAAACCCTAAACCCTAAACCCTAAACCCTAAACGCTTCCGAGTGTAGCCAAGAAGCAATGTCTGTGAGCTTGGGGTTTGGACGCGCCAAAACCTCTGCGGACAGGGCCATGTCGCCTGCTGGCAGGTCTTGCTCTCAGCAGCTATATAAACCCTAAACCCTAAACCCTAAACCCTAAACCCTAAACCCTAAACCCGAACTAAGTCCGAGGGAACCCCAAAGCTCTGGGTCCACAGTCTCTTCTATAAGGTTTTGGGTTTAGGGCTTAGGGGCTTAGGGGTTTAGGGGTTTAGGGTTTAGGGGGTAGGGTTTAGGGTTTAGGGTTTAGGGTTTAGGGTTTAGGGTTTAGGGTTTAGGGTTTAGGGTTTAGGGTTTAGGGTTTAGGGTTTAGGGTTTAGGGTTTAGGGTTTAGGGTTTAGGGTTTAGGGTTTAGGGGGTTTCCGAAATTAGGGGTAGTGGGGTCTTGATTATCACCTATTATTGTGGGGTCCATTTTTGGGGTACCCTATTTTCGTAAACCTCCATATTATGGCTTGGACTCGTCGGCCCTTTTCCCCTTGTGTTAGAGTTGAGGTTCCCGTAAGAGCCCCTTTATTCCTAAGTTAGTCTGGGGCCTAGATGGTCACTTCTCCAAAATATGGTCCCTTTTGGGGTGCTGATTGCAATGCGCCCACCCCAATGTAGAGAACAGACCAGAAACCCTAAACCCTAAAACTAAAACCTGAACTCGAAAGCTACTGCTTGGACCCGTTTCAGGGCCAAGCATGTACCCCCTGCGAGAGTCCGAATGCTTAGGGTTTAGGGTTTAGGGTTTAGGGTTTAGGGTTTAGGGTTTAGGGTTTAGGGTTTAGGGTTTAGGGTTCTTGAGTGCCAACAAAATCCCTTGGAGTTTTTTTTTGTTTTTTTGGCAACCTGAAACCACAAATGCAAAATATGGGGACCCCTTTAAGGCTAAACGCTAAACCCTAAACCCTACACCCTAAACCCTAAACCCCAACAAATCCTTGAAGCCCTTTGTCTGCTGCCTGCCGATTCATCACAGCCGATATGATGAAGCTCCACCTTTGTTGGCCCCAGGCCTCGTATGAATGCAGCGACTGGACAGTTAGTTTTGGCTCTCGATTGGGGCTCGGGGGCTTATCTTTTTACAGCTCAAGGGTCTTAGATTCTTGGTTTAGGGGTTTAAAGATAAAGTTTTGCCCGAAACCCCGTAACCCCTAAACCACAAACCCTAAACCCGGCGTTAGGTTTCCTGGTAAACGCCAATTACCTACGCCAATGGACTACAGAAAACCGTGTTGTGCGCTAATGCAGGCTGTAAACCACTAAACTACTATTTGCTTAAGAACCCCACCCCCACCCCCCACACCCCCCCCCCCACCCCCCCCCCCACCCCCACCCCCACCCACCCCCCCACCCCACCACCCCCACCCCACCCCCCCCCCCCCCACCCCCACCCCCCCCCCCCGCCAACCAAAAAAATAGAAAAAAGTGTACGGGCTCTCCCTTACAAGGGTAATATAGGGATTATTCCCTTTTGTTGTTTTTTTTGGGGTTGGGGGCCTTCCTGAAACCCTGAGCCCTAAAGGAAATAGTAGTAAACCCTAAACCCCAAACCCCAAACCCCAAACCCCAAACCCCAAACCCCAAACCCCAAACCCCAAACCCCAAACCCCAAACCCCAAACCCTAAACCCTAAACCCTAAACCCTAAACCCTAAAGGAAATGGTAGTAAAGATGAAGCCCTTAACAGGGCACAGCTGTTCTGCTTCGCTGCATGCTCTCGAACGGTCATGCTGTACTCCTGGCCACGTTCAGGGATCGCCGAAAGTACATGTATACATGTATGTATATGTATTTGTATTCACATGGTGAGATAAAATCTATAGATATAAATACACATATGAATATGTATATAAATATATATATATATATATTTATTTATTTTTTTTTATTTATTCATTTTTTATTATGTGTATACATATTTATTTATATATACATATATGTAGATACATAGTATTCGTGTATGCTAATGTGTATGTGTTCTAATGCATGGATGAGAACTCAAGGTATCTCAGTGTTTCGAGGCTTGCAATCCGGACATGGGCTGATATTGGCCATTTGCTTTACGCTATAGGGTTTACGGTTTAGTGTTCCTGCCCGACCATGGCGATGCAGCATGCGCTTCTCGTGATGATGGGGCTCTGGCTAGGCTTGTTGCAGCCTGGCGCCTCATGCAACGGTGACCCTGCGTTCTGTGATCTGCCTTTGGGCAGCTTCACATTTCCAGGAACCCACAATTCTGGAGCCTTCTCCTTGGGAGACATTCCCGAAATCATCCCGGATGACATTCCGGGCGTCACGGTGAACAACGTCTTGCGCTGCATGTTTGAGAACCACGATATGAACTTCGTGCAGCAGCTGAATTTTGGCATCCGTAGCTTCAACGTGGACTTCTGCAACCACGCAGCCCAGAGGGTATTGTGAATTTCGGGTTTAGGGTTTAGGGTTTATAGGTGCCCCCAAAACCCTATGTTAGTATGGTTTTTGGGTACCATAATTCCAGGAGAGTACCACAAAATGGACCCACCCTAAACCCTAAACCCTAAACCCCAAACCCTAAACCCCAAACCCTAAACCCTAAACCCTCTAGGCAGCAAGCCCAGACGTGCTCTTCAACTGCCACGGCGTGAGAGCAGATCAAACTGCATGGGGAGGCGACTTCGCGTTCAGAACATGTTTTGTATATTCCCTTATTGGGCTTCAGAGGGGATCATACTCAGCTGAAGATTTTGTCAGAGGGCTTTTAAGGTTTAGGGTTTAGGGTTTAGGGTCCCTCCTAGGTGCTCATGTGGCCTGGCAACCTCCATCTCCAGAATGTCTCATCGAGACTTTGTCATAGTTGGGGCAACATTTTTTTACACTTGTAAGGGTCCAAAAAGGAAGAAGAACTTGAGTTTCTTTTTAAGGGTATATTCTTTTAAGAAGGGTACTTAAACCAAAAAGGAATAATAACTTGAGTTTTTTTATTCAGGGTATTTTATTAAGAAGGGTACTTAAACCCAATAAACAAAGGAAAGTTTACCTTCTTTCATCTTATCCCAAGCCTGAGCGAGAGGAGAGCGGCGCACTGGCGGGAGTACTTCTCCCGTCATTTCGGTGCCACGTGCCTGGAGATCAATGAGCTCACCGACATGTCATCCTGGTCGCGAAGCAGTGACTCGGACCGGGTTTAGGGTTTAGGGTTTGGGGTTTAGGGTTTAGGGTTTAGGGCTAGTAGGACCGGGAGTAGGCCCTGTTGTCCTTGGTTGGGGTTCCCTCATAAGACCAAAAAAGGGTGCACTTTTTTCTTCCTCGGTTACTCCCGGGTCTAGGTGATGTGTCATGTGCTCTGGTCACCGGCCCGCCCAACGAAAACGTCACGCTTGGACAGCTGTCAGCGAAGAATGTGCGCTTCCTCGTCATGAAGTATGACTGGAGTCTTTGTAGCCCAGTGGTACCCTTTACCCTTTAACAAAAAAAAACAGCCCAAAAACCAAACCCTAAACCCTAAACCCTAAACCCTAAACCCTAAACCCTAAACCCGAAACCCTAAACCCACCCAAAAGAGGGCACCCTGATTATGAGAAGCAAGGGATCCCTCGATCGCGTTCAGCACGTACCATGAGACAATCCAGCCCGGGGCAACATCTCAGCTGCTCCTGGGCGACTTCCTGGCCTAAACCCTAAACCCTAAACCCTAAACCCTAAAGCCTAAACTTTCTAACCCCTAGCCCCTAACCCCTAGACCCTAAACCCTAAGCCCAGAGGCTCCTGGACGACTTCGTGGCCTACGCCGCCGGAAGGAAGCCCCTAAACCCGAACACGAACTTCGTCCTGGAAGTCTTCGGCTCAGCCAAGATTCCGGACTTTACGCTCTACCACCGATGTGCCGATCCAATCTGTAAGGCCGCGGCTCTCAAACTCATCCTGGAGGACTTAGAGCTCCGCTGCGTGCACGACCTCTCGACGAACTACAACACCGACTTGCTGCAGGACGATACCAACGAACACGTCTTCTCTTCAGGCTGGGAAGAAGGTTTAGGGTTGAGGGTTGAGGGCTGAGGGTTTAGGGTTTAGGGTTTATAAGCCCTCTTCAAGGGCATATCGCATCCTGCACGACGACCCTGTGCTGCAAGGTGAGACCTGCCCCGAATACTCCTGCGGATGTCTGGGTTACCAGTCGCCCCTGGAGGTTGGGGTTTGGTTTAGGGTTTAGGGTTTAGGGTTTAGGGTTTAGGGTTTAGGGTTTAGGGTTTAGGGTTTAGGGCTTAGGGTTTAGGGTTTAGGGTTTAGGGTTTAGGGTTTAGGGTTTAGGGTTTAGGGTTTAGGGTTTAGGGTTTAGGGTTTAGGGTTTAGGGTTTAGGGTTTAGGGTTTAGGGCGTCGCCCTTGGAGGTTGTGCACCAGAAGCTGCTTGCCCAAGGGCACAGCGTGCAGGCGGTTCAAGCAGACTATCCAGAGAAAGGACACAGGGCTCAGGGATTTGGGGTTTAGGGTTTAGGGTTTAGGGGTTTAGGGTTTAGGGTTTCGGGTTTAGGGTTTAGGGTTTGGGGTTTAGGGTTTAGGGGATTTGGGGACTAGCCCCTCAGCCCTCAACCATAAAGGGTTTCGGGCTGCATGAGCGTTCAGAATCCTTGGGGCCGAGTTAAATCATGGGACTACCTTGGGGAACCCTGAGGTGGTACCCCCTGGGTTTGCGGACACTTTTGCAAGATCCTTTAAGGGAATCGAAGGGCTGCATTAGCAGTATATGAAGGGAAACCTCTTAGGGGTACAACCTTAGCTTAGCGGCCCTAAGCCCTAAACCCTAAACCCTAAACCCTAAACCCCCCTGACTACGGGCTGGTTCTTAGTAGGGAATGAGAGAAGTAGGGCCCTACAGAACCCCTTAAAGGGTATATATAGGGCCCTCATTCCCTCATTCCCTATACTAAGAACCAGGGGGACTAAACCCTAAACCCCAAACCCCAAACCCCAAACCCCAAACCCCAAACCCCAAACCCCAAACCCCAAACCCCAAACCCCAAACCCTAAACCCTAAACCCTAAACCTGCAGGAACCAAGACGCAGCTGTCTCAAGTGACCCGCCGCATGAACGAAGCCACCCTGCGCCACATGCGTGGTGAGCCCGAGCTTGGCAGCTCGCCAAGTTTAGGGTTTAGGGTTTAGGGTTCAGGGTTTAGGGTTTAGGGTTAGGGTTTAGGGTTTAGGGCTTAGGGCTTAGGGCTTAGGGCTTAGGGCTTAGGGCTTAGGGCTTAGGGCTTAGGGCTTAGGGCTTAGGGCTTAGGGATGAGTGCGAGATGTTGAGCTGGGATGTCGTGAGACCAGAACCCTAAGTCCAGGGTCCCCCCCAAAATCTAAGGTTGCAACCATATGGGCCCTTAGTGTGGTCCCTTACCCTTATCTTATAGGCATCCGAAGTATGGGCCCTTATGATATATAGCGTGCATAAGGGTTATATAAACCTAAACCCTAAACCCTAAACCCTAAACCCTAAACCCTAAACCCTAAACCCATTTCCCTGCACAAGGGGCCTCCTGGTGGTCCTGCCATTGGCAGCCCGTGACGGCCGTTGGAGTGCCACTACTTCTGCTGGCCTGCTGTGGGATCTATGTGACTTCCCTCACAGGGTTTAGGGTTTAGGGTTTAGGGTTTAGGGATTTAGAGTTTAGGGTTTAGGGTTTTTTTGGCACTTATATATTTTTCTGAGAGAAACAAAGTTCACCCATTTTTGTCGGAGAAGTGAGGTGACCCTGGCCTGTCGCTATCCCAAGCGTTGGGGCACCTGGTTCTGGAGGACTGACAGTTTTACATAGGGTTCGGGGCTTAGGGCCCTAAACCCTAAACCCTAAACCCCAAACCCCAAACCCCAAACCCCAAACCCCAAACCCCAAACCCCAAACCCCAAACCCTAAACCCTAAACCCGGGGATTTATCGTTTAAAACCACCGGGCCCCTGGCCAACTTCTCCAATCTCAAGGGCTTGAGGGGGTTTAGGCTTTGCCCCACCAGGGTTTGAGGTTTCGGGTGGCCGAGTTTCATCCATCCTAAACCCTAAACCCTAAACCCCAAGCCCTAAGCCCTAAGCCCTAAACCCTAAACCCCAATAAACCCCAATAAACCCCAATAAACCCCAACAAACCCCAATAAACCCCGATAAACCCCAAGAAACCCCAATAAACCCCTTAAAGCCCTCAAACCCTCAAGAGCGAGAACAGGTATTTGGAGGGGTGGAGGCGGAATCGGGCAGCGGCAGAGCGGGGCGCTCAACGTGGACGCGAGGAAGCCCGGTCGCCTTGGCAGGCATAGCAAGCTTTACCGAATTCATATTCGTGTTTGGGGTTTAGGTTTTAGGGATTAGGGTCATAAACCCCAAGCCCTAAACCCCAAACCCTGAACCCTAAACCCCACAAACCCTAAACCCCAAACCCTAAAGCCTAAACCCTAAACCCTAAACCCTAAACCCTAAACCCTAAACCCTAAACCCTAAACCCCAGGCCTTAAGTATCGATCCCAGGAGGTATTTGGCTGCGGAGCGAGGCGATTTTCACTCAGCCGGTCCGGGTGTCTCTCTTGGCCAACAGCTGAACTTCAAGCTTTTTGGGGTTTAGGGTTTAGGGTTTAGGGTTTAGGGTTTAGGGTTCAGGGTTTCCTTATTTAGTAGGCATACTGAAGTTTAACCTTTTTTCCCCTTGGCTGTTGGAAAAGTAAGGTGTGGCTCCCCCACCGATGCAGGCGAGGGGCTTGTAGGGTTTAGGGTTGTTTAGGGTTCAGGGTTTACGGTTGAGGGTTTAGGGGCTTGGGTTTAGGGGTTTGGGTTTAGGGGTTTAGGGTTTGGGTTTAGGGTGTAGGGTTTAGGGTTTTAGGTTTAGGGTTTGGGGTTTGGGGTTTAGGGTTTAGGGTCACGGTTTTGTAGCTGAACGAGTACACTTTACACTTTTGGGGATACGTTAGTGCCCTATAAAACTGAAAGTGTACACTTTTTCGGGGGCTTATGAACTCAGCAACTTTGCAGGAGAGGGGTTTGCCCGAAACCCCAAGCCCCTAAACCCTAAGCCCTAGACCCCCAAACCCTACAACCCCCAAGCCCCCAAACCCTAACCCTAAACCCTAAACCCTAAACCCTAAACCCTAAACCCTAAACCCTAAACCCTAAACCCTAAACCCTTCGAAACGCTTCGTGTTGGCCAGAGGTGCCCCCCAATGGGCCGATGGGCTACCAGAATCAGTTCCAGAAGTTCACGGCGACCGAGTGACCAGCAAATGATGCCACGGATTTTGGGGCTCATAGGGTTCATAGGGTTCATAGGGTCCATAGGGTTCAGAGGGTTCAAAGGGTTCAGAGGGTTCATAAGGTTCAGAGGGTTCATAGGGCTCATTGGGGGTAGGGTGTAGGGTTTAGGGCTTAGGAGGTTCTGTGGTCGACGTAGCTAACGCCCAAAGAGTACCCTTATGTAAGGGGTACAAGGAGGGGCCCTCCGAAGGGACCCTTAATCTTATTCCCCTATATAACCCCTATATATACCTCATCTAGTCCCTATATACCCTAAACCCTAAACCCTAAACCCTAAACCCTAAACCCTAAACCCTAAACCCTAAATTCCTAAACCCGTAAAAAGAACCCCCAAGGGTCCCGAGTAAGGGTCCCTCCGTGAGTCCCGTGAGACTTATTGTAAACGCAGTTCCGATTCGTTGCGAAGCAAGGATCTCCCAGGGTGGGGCAAACCTGAGGTGGCGATTGCAGAATTCCGAGTTCTGTTAGCTCAGCCCTTAACAAACTGGGATAGTACAATCTACATATCGATGTATGCATATATATATATATATATGTATGGAAGAGGGAGAGAGAGAGAGAGAGAGAGAGAGACTTTTCTGTCTATTTGACACTTCCACTATTAGTAGCCAAGGAAATATTCTAATTAATTCAATCAATGACCTTAAGTATTGGGATATGATATCATGTATATATATTTTTTTTCTCCCTGATTCAGTTTATGAGGATCCTATGTGGAAGTATTGGGGCAACCTTATCGTGTAGCCAAGAATCGCTCAAGGCATGTTGCCCTCGACCGTGGAACCACTTCTGGCCTTGCCTGTCCGGCCTCAAGACCCCCCAGACCCTAGACCCTCAACCCGAAGCCCGAAGCCCTAAGCCCTAAGCCCTAAGCCCTAAACCCTAAACCCTAACCCTGAGTGAGATTTGCGAAGCAAATCAGAGGCCCGGCACAAGGTTTTTTTTCCAGATCTACTCGGACAAGGGGTCTGAGTCGACTGACAGCCTTCTTATGCCCAAAGCCCATTTAAAGCAGAAGAAGGAGAAACAGTTTAGGGTTTAGGGTTCAGGGTTTAGGGTTTAGGGCAAAAGCAAAACAGATTTAGGGCTGCTAGGGTCTGGGGTTTTAGAGTTTGGGGTTTAGGGAGGTTTCATGATTCGGAGGTTCGGCACATGTTGCGGAGAGTTTAAAGGAGCATGTCTCGGGGCTTCCTTGGGGACCAAAATGAACCCCTAAATTGGGGGGGGGGGGGGGGGGGGGGGGTTGTCACATACCTACCCTAAACCCTAAATCCTAAACCCTAAACTTGGGTTCGGCCGGTCAACACTAACAGTCAAATAACGCCGTGGCCTTATAACACACAGGCCAAAAATAGCACCAGGAATCCCGGTCAATTTTAGCATTTACCTGGTGCTTATTTTTGTGGGTCTGCTGGTGGTGACTGTTAGTCACATAGCACCAGCAACAGCACCAGAAATAGCACCAGAAATAGCACAAACAATAGCACAAAAAATAGCACCAGAAATAGCACAAACAATAGCACAAAAAATAGCACCAGAAATAGCACAAACAATAGCACCAGGAATCCCAGTCAATTTTATCAGCTTAGCATTTACCGGGTGCTGTTTTTTTGTGGGTCTGCTGATGGTGATTGTTAGTCACATAGCACCAGCAACAGCACCAGAAATAGCACCAGAAATAGCACAAACAATAGCACAAAAAATAGCACCAGAAATAGCACAAACAATAGCACAAAAAATAGCACCAGAAATAGCACCAGGAATAGCACAAAAAGATGCACCAGAAATAGCACCAGAAATAGCACCAGGAATAGCACCAGGAATAGCAGGAATCTCAGTCAGTTTTTTGGCATTTACCGGGTGCTTTTATTTGTGGGTCTGCTGGTGGTGACTGTTAGTGTGGACCGGCCGAACCCAACCCTAAACCCTAAACTCTAAACCCTAAACCCTAAACATCCCTAAACCCTAATCTGAACCATAAACCCTCTTAGGGTTCGTCTGGGTCCCAAGGGTTACAGGGCAGGCTTCAGTGTTTCTGCTGCCGTGCTGGTGCGGCTTCGTATTCTTAAGAGGCTGAATATCCCGAAGGGTCCATGTACTCGGGCCTCACAGGGGTTTAGGGTTTAGGGTTTAGGGTTTAGGGTTTAGGGTCTAGGGTCTAGGGTTTAGGGTTTAGGGTTTAGGGTTTAGCTTTAGGGCCCAAGGACATTCTATATAGCTACGCGGAGCCTTAGGGTATGGGATCTGGTCTGGGACATGGCAGATGGTCGCGGCCAGAACGCAATGTCACACGCATGGGCAACCCTATAGGGGTTTGGGGTTTAGGGTTTAGGGTTTAGGGTCTAGGGTTCATGCTCCAAATGCAAACCCTAAAGCCCAGCATGAACAGAGGCCAACCCTCCTGCCACCGTCTGGGAAGCCACCACATCTTCGGTGAGCCGGTTTGCGACATCTCCCAGCGGTCTGCCTGCGATTTGAGGGGAGGGCCGACGGAGGCTGCTAGGGTTTAGGGTTTAGGGTTAGGGTTTGGGGTTTGGGGTTTAAGGGTGCAGGGTTTGGGGTTTAGTCTTTAAGGTTTAGGGTTTAGGGTTTAGGGTTTAGGGTCCTATACACCCCCCCCCCACAGCGACTCTTGTAGTTTAGGAGCTGGGCTTGGGTTTGGGATTTTGGTGCTCCTACAGGCCCCACGCTAAAACTCCCATACCACGATCTAGAGGCCTTCAAGAGTTGCTTCTGGTAACAAAAAGCGGCCAAGTGTTAAGCCCTAAACCCTAAACCCTATACCCTATACCCTATACCCTATAAACCCTAAACCCTAAAGGTCTTGCATGCCAGGATATGGGAGGTTGATCGAAGTTCTTGGCCATTTATGGGCACCAGAGCCATGAATTTGACATCAGCTCCTTGCGAGCAACCCTGCAACCAACACCCTGTTTATGTCAACCCAGGACCCCTTGAAACTCTTCTCGGAACTTCCCTCAAACCCTCCCTAAACCCTATATGCCCTAAGCCCCCACCTCAGCCCAAGAACCCTAAACCCCAAACCCTAAACCCTAAACCCTAAACCCCAAACCCTATACCCTAAACCCTAAACCCCAAACCCTATACCCTAAACCCCAACCCCCAAACCTCTAAAGCCAAGGCGGAAAGCATGTGGCAGCCGCAAACCTCCGAGGCCTGGCTTCTTCCATGTCAGGTAGGGTTTAGGCTTTAGGCTGTAGGGTTTAGGGTTTAGGGCTTAGGGCTTAGGGCTTAGGGCTTTAGGGCTTTAGGGCTTTAGGGGTTTAGGGGTTTAGGGGTTTAGGGGTTTAGGGGTTTAGGGGTTTAGGGGTTTAGGGGTTTAGGGGTTTAGGGGTTTAGGGGTTTAGGGGTTAGGGTTTCGGGTTTAGGGTTTAGTGTTGCAGGGTAGCGGGATGAGGGCCGGGGCGCCCAGGTCGGATCTACGTGTGGGACACTGTCACCTCGAAATCGGTGACGAAGGAGATGCCCGAGGAGGCCGAAGCACGGCCCCCTCCTCAAAATCTCAGCCCTCAACCCTCCACTTAGGGTTTAGGGTTTAGGGTTTAGGGTTTAGGGTTTAGGGTTTAGGGTTTCGGGCTCTGAAGTACTGGCCCTGCAGAGGTGATGGTGCTGAGATTCATCGCCGATGACAAGTTGGCTGTGGCACTCTCCGATTCCGTCCATGCCTTACTCGCCTCACGTTGTCTACTTGGGGGCTTCCGAAAGGAGGGTCCACAGTCTCTTCTATAGGGTTTAGGGTTTAGGGTTTAGGGTTTAGGGTTAGGGGGTTTCCGAAATTTGGGGTACTTTTTGGGTGGCCTGATTATATAGGAATCTTACTATTTGGGGTCTATTTTAGAGGTCTCCTATTTTTGTTTACCCTCACTTGGAGGCTCATGTACTTCGTCTAGGACCCGGAGTAGGCCTTTATTTCCTAAACCCTAAACCCTAAACCCTAAACCCTAAGCCCTAAGCCCTAAACCCTAAACCCTAAACCCTAAACCCCAATCTCTACCCCTAAGGTGGCTTTAAAACGCCTAATATGGCCCTTCTACGACCTGAAGGACCTTGAAAAGGATCCCCAGAGCCTAGGGTTTAGGGTTTAGGGTTTAGGGTTTAAGGTTTAGGGTTTAGGGTTTAGGGTTTAGGGTTTAGGGATGGAGGTTCATGTACTTAGTAACTCAGTTGCTTGGACCCACAGTAGGCCCTATTATTCCCTTTTCATGAGGAAAAGGTTCCCGAAAGTGCCCCTTGAACCAAACAAAAGGCACTTACTAGGTTACTCTTGGGTTTAGATGAAATGCACACTAACCCAACTATACTCCTCTTGGGGTACTTGAGGGCGTCTAAGTGGGTTCTGCCTACACTTCTAGTTGGGCTATAAGGTTATAAGACTAAGACCCTGAACCTCCAAGTAGGGTTGCGGATTCAGGGTCCCCTTCTCTCGCCCCCTTAGGAAGTAAAGCCAAGGGAATATTAAATCATTCTTTTGATTAAGGTCTTGAGGGATACCCTGAACCCTGAACCCTGAACCCTAGACCCTAGACCCTAAACCCTAAACCCTAAACCCTAAACCCTAAACCCTAAACCCTAAACCTCAAACCCTAAACCCTAAACCCTAAACCCTAAACCCTAAACCCAAACCCTAAACCCAAACCCTAAACCCTAAGCCCGTTTATGATTTGGGGTTCAGGGTCTTGGAACCCTGGGTTCATCAGCCTGAAGCCTGAAGCCTAAAGCTTGGGAAGTTCCCCCTTATACTAACAAGGGTTTAGGGTTTAGGGTTTAGGGTTTAGGGTTTAGGGTTTAGGGTTTAGGGTTTAGGCATTGGGTTTAGGGAATCCTGAATCGGGATTCTAGCAGGGGGGTACCTGTCATCCCTACTAAGGGCTGTGAGTATAAAGGAGGGAGCATCCCAACCTAAACCAGAGACCTGCTTCGGGGTTCAGTTCGGGGTTTCGT